CCCAGCACACCCAGTTAGCACTGCCTCCTTCTGCATGGCCCCTGGGGAACAGCATCCATGTGAACTGGGGGAATCCACTTCGCTGGGGTCCTGGCGACCTGCGTTGAACTCGTCAGTGTTTTGCTGCCAACCAGCCGTTAATTACAGAGTGAGGAGGTTTAAGTGCAAGCCTCAAACTGGAGACCAGAGGGAGGTCAATGGCTTATTTTGTTCAGATTTCATGCTGCTTTCAGGGTTTCTTGGTTTTGGTGAGGCTTCACACCTGGGGTCCCAGGAGAAGAGTTATTTTCTGAGCTGCTTTGGTTTTCAAGAGAGCTTTGTGCTTCTCAGGACTGTGTATCTGGCTAAGTGCAGAGATTGGGGCAGGACAGCCTGCGACTCTGCAGCTTGTCATCCCAAACACTTTTTTCTGAGAAACTGTCACATCCTTGGAGGAAAGTACCCTGGTGTCTGTTAGTTTTGGTGGTACCTGGAGCAGATGATGTATGCGTGCTTGTAAGCTCCTCAGAGGCAACTCTCTTTCTGTTCTGCTTTTGTTCAGAGCTAGCACAGAGGGATCCAGAGCCTCGGTCAGGCTCCTACGTGTTCCTAAAGCACAAATGGTGTTTTGTCTCACGTGACGTTAGTGATGATAAGGCTGGGAGCTTGAGATGAATACTGACCGGTGCAAAGCCCTGTAGTGCTGCTGCCGGAGGGGTGAGCTGCTGGGCAGTGCTGCCTGGGGGGCTGAGCAGTGGATTGGGACGTGGGAGGTCAGGGTGGCCTCTCTGCATCCCCCTCCCCATCTGTCAAAAGAGACCTTGATTGCAGGGGGTGCACAAGGGCGCGATGGGGGTGCAGAGGAGCAGAGCTGTGTGGCTGGCAATGCACCAGGAACCTGGAGCAACAAGCAGGTATTCCCTCTGCCTCCTAGATCCCGAGATGGAAAAGGACTTTCCCATGGCCCCAGCGCATCTCTGGACCCCCCTGCCCTGCTCTCGCTCTCTTTTCTCCAAAGCAAGTGCCGTGGGCCTTGGCACTTCTGCTACAGCTCCGGCAGCTCACTCTCCTCTCTCTTTGTCCTCAGACCTGGCTCAAGGGCACCTGCAGCTGGGACACCTGGGCAGGGAATTCCGCGCAGACACCAGCCCCATCTCCCCCTCCGAGGTGGAAGGGCAGTCCCCGATGGCCGTGCGTTACCGCAACAACAACCAGCGCCGCTTCTCCATGGAGGCAAGTGCTGCTGCAGGCTGGAGCGGGCAGAGGGGATGTGGCAGGTTCTGGTTGTCACCTGCCTGCTGGCTGACTGATTCGTGGGGACTTGGCAGGCCCAGACACGAGCCCTGACGTCCTCTTGGGTGCATTCAGCATGACCCCATGGTACCCAACAGAGCCCAGTGTGCATCCCCATGCACTCGCATGCACACACATCGTCCCTTTTCCTTTGACTGAGGGTCCCACAGATGCTGCACCCATTGCTTCAGCATTGGTAGCAGCTCTGGTTAGAGAGCATTTCCCCTTGAATGCCTCTGTACAGTCATCTCATCAGATGCCCTCATCCCCTGCTCTTCTGGCTGTCTCCACAGGACGTCAGCAAGCGTCTCTCCCTGCCCATGGACATCCGCCTGCCCCCGGAGTTCTTGCAGAAGCTGCAGATGGAGAGCCCGGAGTTCCCCAAGCCCCTCAGCAGGATGTCCCGACGGGCTTCCCTCGTAAGTCTACTGTGCAGAGCGAGCAGTGCTGGGCACAGCATCTTGCAGACGAGTCCCACCCAGCACATGGATGTGCTGATTGCTACCCACCCGTGCAGTCATGCCCCGCTGTGCAAGCTCCCTTGTGCCCCGTGTGCCACTGAGATACATGCACACGCATCCCTGCCCATGCAAATCCCTTTCTGCACGCTCCCAGCAGTGCACATTCCCCCCACCAGGCACATATGCATCTCTTCCTTCTGTAACTCCTACACATGCAGATCTGTGCAAATCCCCAGGCCTGCACATTCCTTCACTCACCTCTGCACATCCCTGACTTTCCTCTTGGCCCGGCTCCTTCCAGACAGGAGGAGGTGGAAAGCCTCCTGCTGTTCAGCAAGCGGAGGCGACTCTGCTAGTTGAAATGCAAATGATGATAAATAATAAATTAGCCTTTGCATTAGCGTTGGCTTTTCAGTTTCTTTGCTGCAGAACATCAGCACATGTAGGAGCGAAAACCTGGTGCCCTGTTTACAAATGTGCAAGCATGTGTCTTGCTGCCCAGGAGTGCTCGGTGCCACACAGATACAACAGCGAGGTCTCAGCAGGCGTCTTCATATCTGGCGTGCCTATTCGGGGAGAGGGAATAGAAAAGGAGAGCTGGCATTTACCTGCCTGTTCTGTCTAATCAATAAAATAGACACAGCCAGAGCAACGTGCCATTAATATTCATGGTCCCCTCCATGAATAAGAGATGCTCCTGGGAAACACAGCGGTATGGCTCTGGGGAACCTTGGGTTGCAGCAGCCACCTCATTTCCCTGCTCAGGACACGTCTGTTCCCAGGGTGTGCAGAGGGTTTGCAGGACCCAAAATGGAATAAAATAACCACTGTGTTCCCCTGGGATTTGCCAGTCCACATCCACCCTGCACGGGCAAGAAAGCAGCTTTCCTGCGGTGTGTGGCAGCTTGGGAGAGCTTGGGGGACTGCTCAGTGCCTGCTGCGAGGAAAAACCCCTCCCATGGGGCAGATCTGGGGAGCAGGGGGGGCTGTTGACTGATCTTCCCCCAAAGCTGTGACTGTTCAGGGTTCTGGACCTTCCCCCCCAAAGGCAAAGCCATCCCAGGGTGAGATCTCTCCCAGTGATATTTTCCCTTTTTTCTCTTACAGTCAGATATTGGGTTTGGGAAGCTGGAAACCTATGTTAAACTGGACAAACTGGGAGAGGTGAGTAGACTCTGAAACCCCTGCAAGGATTTAAATTAAGTTAGAAGGGCAGCCTGAAGTGCAAAGGGCAGATTGTAGCCAGTTTTGTCCAATATCTAGCAATTTTTAGACCAAGTCTTTCTGTGCCCTTCAGACTTGGCCCCTTTAGCTTCAGATTATCGTTCCTACGGACATTATCGACTATACCAGCCATGTGCCCC